CCAGCTTGTTTTATTGTTGTTTGAATCTTAGATGGTCTTCCAAGAAAAAATCCAGAGCCAGATATCACTGTCTACATGGAGTTATTGTTGTGGAATCCCATCATCTTTTTGGATGTGGTCATGATTCACTGCAGAAAATCTTTTTCTTGGGACATTTTTTCTAGGTGATTTGTCCTCTTTCTTTAGATGTTTCATTTGTCCAGTGTTCTTCAGATTTCTTAGCCTTCATTCTCCTGAAAGACAAAAACAAAACCCTTCCCCAAGCCTAACTTTGGGGATTTTCCCGATCTAAGCTGTATCAGTTTTGATTTATGGTTTCTCCTGAATTTTTTGTTCTCTCTTCTATAGGTGTTCTATCATCCAGAGCAGTATGGTTTTTTACAATAGGTATTAGGTTCTTTAATTGCTCTGGGAAGGAGTTTCCTCCATGATGACAGGAAAGGACTGAATGGAATTTGACATAAGGGCTTACGAGAGATCCTTTATGGCATTTCCCGCCAGCAAAGGCAAAAGATTACCTTGTCTGTCCCTTGTTGATCTACCTTCCTTAGTTCAATGTCTGCTTTTACCACACCTTCTGCATAATCCAGAGGCGTTCTGTTGCCATTGTTCCTTGAAGAAACATTGTTTCTAGGAATGCCCTGTTTACAATCCCTTTTTAGGTGACCTTGTTTACCGCAATTGGAACATGTGATGTTACTATTTTTCTTCAAACCTCTGGAAATCACCTCTCTTATACAAGCATCATCATGGTCATGAGATTCAATATTTGTTGTATCTCAGATCCATTCTGCCAAGGGTACTAATCTTGCCTTTAATGGCCTAATTACCCTTTTGCATTGTGCATTAGCATTTTCAAAGGCCAGAGATTCAATTATTATCTGTCTAGCTTCTGAATTTGGTATCATTCTATTTACTGCTGAAATCAATCTTTGTAAGAAATCAGTGAAGGATTCTTTTGGGCCTTGTATAATGCTTGTAAATCACTCAATTTTCTTTCCCACTTCTTCAATTCTGTCCCAAGCATTCAAGGCTGCCATTTGGCATAAAGTCAGGGTGTGGTCATTATACTGAGATTGCCTTTCTACATTAGCATAATCTCCCTCTCTAAGAAGTTGATCTTGGGAGATTTCCATACCTCTAGCCCTACTTCATTGTTCAATGGTCTTAGCCTCATCCTTCCACTAGATCTTCCATTGTAATTGGGGACCAGCTTCTAAGACAACCATAACCAAATCTCTCCAGTCTTGCGGGATAATTCTATTACAAGTTGACCACCAGTTTGACATCTGCTTCCCAAACAGGGAATGCATACCATATGACACTATTGCTTCTTTGAATCTCCTCAAATCTAACATTTGCACAGGAGTCCAATAAGCTTGTACACAGCCTTGAGCATTTGACAATTCCTGTAAGGTTACTGGATAAATTAAGGTTGGCTGTTTGAAAGCCTTAGGCTGTTTCTCTGTAACCACATAATGCAATGTTGAGATTGGTTCACCTTTGAATTCCTCTATCTGGGTCTGAATTTCTCTATGATCTATTTTAACAAGTTTTTCTAAAATTTTATCTTATCTTTTATTTTATCTTATTAACCAACGTTTTTAATGATAAAACAGAAATGATCAAATTATTTTTGTAATTGACATTACATAAATCCCATCTACATTAATTATCCTCTCATTTAATTTTTCCATTTTCAGACTGTCAAACAGAGACCAAATTTCCTACATTGTAAAAATGTTTCCCATTTTTTAATGTGGGAAAAAATACTTTTTTAACTAATTTCTTCCTTTAAGAAATCTCTCACCAAATCTGCTGACAATGATTCAGATGTGAGTCTGACCACTTCTGCGTAGAACAGTAAAAGCCCGAGTGGGTTTCAAGGCAGCTACCTAGTGTGGTAGCAGCTCAAGATTAGGATCCAGGAAGAGCCCACATCCCACCAGGAGAGAAGAAGCCAAAGAGCTAGCCATCTGCATGAGGGAACGAGAGAAAGCAGCTAACTCCTATGGTTTTTGGAGCCCCCCAAAAACCTATGGAGTTTGCTGCAGAGAGGCTGCAACAAAAACTTAGCCAGTGGGTTAGGGACTCCTGCCCGTTTGGGTTGGAGACTCCAGTTGTGTACAGTTTGGAGCCTGTGCCAGCACCTGCAAAGACACAGGCAAGCAACTTGTTTGTGAATTTATGCCCCGTGTTGGGTGCCAAATGTTGTTCAATCTTTGATAGTCTTTTAATACAAAACCCAGAGCCAGAAATCAGGGTGAAAGGTGAAAGATCAGAGAAGCAGAACAGCCAGCCACTAGTTCTTACCTCTATGAAATCCTCAACCTAAAGAGAGTGAGTTCCTGTTTCCTCACATCTTATATACCTTTCTCTGCCCTGCCACATCACTTCCTGGGATTAAAGGCATGTGTGCTTCCCAAGCAAAGGCATGAGATCTCAAGTGCTAGGATTAAAGGTGTGTGCTGCCACTGCCTGGCCTCTGTGTCTAACCTAGTGGCTGGCTCCATCCTCTGATGCTCAGGCAAGTTTATTAGGGTACACAATATATCACCACATTTTTTTCTTTCTCCCTTGAAGGGACCATTGATGAGTTATTACCATTATTAGGGAAAAAAAATTTCCCACAAAGGGACCTTTAATATTGAGTTATTCCCACTCTGGGGAGGGGGGGGAGGACATTTAAACCAACAAAAAAAGAAAATCCAAGCTCCGTGCTGTGCTTTTCCAGGCTGCAGAGGTGAGTCCCCCGCTGTGATTCTTTGTAACCCAGATCCCACTACACTATTCAGGCTGATCTCTAAAAGAGCTAGCAGTCAGAAAGCTGTGAGTTCCAGGAATCCTTAATCTCTTTCTGTTATCAGAAAGAGCCTTTTTTCTGTTGCTTCTGGGAAGAGGCTTTTTCTTTCCTTTATTTTTCATTTCTGGGGCCTTTTTATTTCTGGGCACTGATTCATCATTTTCCCCTTCTTCTACCAGGAAAATCCTTTTTTACTGATTAAACTTTTCTCCTTTTTCCATCAAGAAATTTTCTTTTTTTAATGTCCTTTCCTTTGCCTTTCTCTACTGTGACTATACCTTTTTTTTTCCAGGACAGGGTTTCTCTGTGTAGCTTTGGAGCCTGTCCTGGAACTCACTCTGTAGCCCAGGCTGGCCTCGAACTCACAGAGATCCATCTGCATGTCTTTGCCTCCTGAGTGCTGGGATTAAAGGTGTGTGCCACCACCACCACCCGGCTTGAAGATACTTTTTTTTTTTTTAAGATTTATTTATTTATTACGTATACAGTGTTCTGTTTGCATGTATCCCGCAGGCCAGAAGAGGGCGCCAGATCTCATTATGAATGGTTGTGAGCCACCATGTGGGTGCTGGGAATTGAACTCAGGACCTCTGGAAGAACAGCGAGTGTTTTTAACCTCTGAGCCGTCTCTCCAGCCTTTGAAGATACCTTTTTAAACTTCCTTTCTTTACTAGGAAGATTCTTCTTCCTTGATTTATCCTTTGTCCCAGGAACTATTTTACTTGTTGCTGTTTCTGAGATGAAGAATTTAAATTCTCCGTGTTCCTGACCTATCCTGGAGTCTCACCTACTATTATGGCATACATTACCTCCAGTCCTGGGGTGTCTGTACCCTATTTCCTCACCCCACACTGGGCACCAAATGTCAGGGTGCACTGTGCAGTACCCACTCCATTACATAAGAAGACGCTCTGTAGTAGGAAGGTTCCTCTAGTCCCGCCAGGCCCCGCAGTCCCACAGCTGCTTATAAAATAATCATTCAGAGGCTTATATTAACTACACACTGTGTGGCCTATGGCATGCCTCTTGCTATCTAGCTCTTTCATCCTAAATTAGCCCATGTCTATCAATCTATATGTCTCCACGTGTTCTATGGCTTTACCTGTGTGTCATTACATGCTGCTCCCTGGACAGTGGGATGGCATCTCCTCTGCCTCTGCTTTTCTTCTTCCTGTCTCTCTCCTTGGATTTCCCACCTGCCTCTAAAATGCCTTGCCATAGGCCAATGAAGCTTTATTTATCAACCAATCAGAACAACACATATTCACAACATACAGACATCCCATAGCAGCACCCCAAGATGAAATTTTAAGGCCTATGTGGCAGCAGGAAGTTCCAGCCTCTTCTGATGGACTGAATCTGAACAGCCATACAAAGGCATATTTATTGAAAGTTACACAAAGTATTTCCTCATACTAAGGTCCCTAACCTTAATTCACATGTCTTTCTGAAGGAGAGTATCACATGCCTCCATGACTCTAGTCCTTGTTATGTATCATGTGCAATACACAATACTACAAGAGCCTCAGGTGTGCCTGAAGCGTCTTTTGACCAAAGTCATGGGATGGCTGCAAAGCTCCATCAGCCAAACAATTCTACAAATCACTGGAAACAATCACTGTTGTCCACAAGGATTCTTCAAGGTCAAAGTACTTCTAGAAAACAGCTGTTCATTCTAATATCTACCCCAGAACAGTGACTCTGCTAAATTCCTACAGCAAAGAATAATTCTATTTTAATTTGTGTATCTGTGTGCCTACATGCACATGAGTGCAGTGCCCTCGGAGGCCAGAAGGTGGCGCAGGGGCGCTGGAAACACACCCTAGTCCTTGGTTTTAGGCGCTGAGCCTCCTCTCCAGCCCCAGCTCCCAGCCCTGAGTCAGCCTGGGTTGACTGATGGATCCCTCACCAAGCCCGCATCTCCCTGGGGTGTCGTCCTTCTCTAGCTTATAAACTCCCGTGGACACCTCAGAACTCTCTAGAGCAGCGGTACTCAACTAGTGGACCGCAGCTTCTTTGGGGGACGGGGTTGAACGACCCGTTCACAGGGGTCACACATCAGATATTTGCATTACGATTTACAACAGTAGCAAAATTATAGTTACGAAGTAGACACTAAGTAATTTTATGGTGGGGGGGGTCACCACAACATGAGATGTTGTACCCAGAGTCCCCCAAAGACCACCAAGAGACCAAATCCAATGCAAAAACAGTCCTTTTATTGTAGTGGGGCCGGGTTTTACAGTGGTTAGGGCCGGAGATCTAGGGGAATTCCAACTCTGTATACAAGCTCAGGACGGTGCTCACTTCAGGTCAGAGACGCTTGGTCTGAGCTGACGGGAGAGTTGCAGCTGCAGGAAATCGCCATCTCCTGTAGCAGTTTATGTCACCTACCACACCGGCGGACCGTTTCCTCTGACAGTCAGACTTCCCATCTTTATCTGCAGGAAACTCCTTCCCTGCGACAGCTGTGGCATACAATCTACAACAGCAGAAAACACCCCGCAGGACACAGCTGGTGCTCTGTTACTATGCCAGTCGTGTTGTGTCATAGCCTTTAGGTTGTGGCAGAAATGTCTGAGGACCGAACCCAGGGCCTTGCAAGCGCGCTCTACCGCTGAGCTAAATCCCCAACCCATGGAACTTGTTTTTGTGCAGCTCCTAATTGTCTGGGTCTAGGGGCCGAGGAGCAGCACACCCTCTGGTGTTTTTTGTTTGTTTGTTTGTTTTCAGAACAATTTGTCCGAGGGCCTGCTGCCCCCGACTGACCCTTCGCTAAGATGGCTGCAACCCTGGCATCATCTCGGAGGAACTGCATCAAAGGGGCGCAGCCTTAGGAGGGTTGAGAACAGCTGCTTTAGGAAATCGTCCTCCATTTAGCCAAGCTGTGAGTCAGGTGAGTCGGGGGACAGAGGGTAGAGGGTAGCCCTGGAGATGAAATGCATTATGGGCACCAGCACCTCCCCCCACTTCCCCCCAACCCCACCCCGCTCCCTTCCTGGGCTGGCTTTGGAAGACAGAATGGGAACGTGGATTCCTTATTTTGTTAGAAAAGTGTTTATTATTTAAAGAATACGAAAAGGCCCGGGCCTGCTTGCGAGGGAGGACGGAGGAGTCTTGGCTCAGCCGGGCTGGGACGGCGGCTGCTCTCCAAGGAGTCCAGCCCGGGAGCTCAGGGAGCTGTGGCGGGTGGGAGGGCAGAGGTCCGGGAGCACCGTCTCCTCAGCAGCTGGCGAGGTACATCCCTGCGGGGAGAGAGCAGGGGCCTCGCTCGCTCGCTCGCGCGGGCTCCCCCGTGCCGGCCCGCGAGCCCAGCCCGGCGAGCCCAGCCCCGCGAGCCCAGCCCGGCGAGCCCCGGCCCCGCGAGCCCAGCCCGGCGAGCCCCGGCCCGGCGAGCCCAGCCCCGCGAGCCCAGCCCGGCGAGCCCAGCCCGGCGAGCCCAGCCCGGCGAGCCCAGCCCCGCGAGCCCCGGCCCGGCGAGCCCAGCCCCGCGAGCCCCGGCCCCGCGAGCCCAGCCCCGCGAGCCCAGCCCGGCGAGCCCAGCCCCGCGAGCCCCGGCCCCGGCCCCGCAGCTACCTGTGGCGAATCTCCGCTTGACCAGGGACATGCGGTAGCCGCCGCCCAGCAGCTCCAGGTCCAGGCCGGACAGCGTGGCGCCCTCGCTGGTGAACTGCGCGGCCACGGGGCTGGGGGTGCTGGGCCCCGACTGCGGCTGCCAGCTGGCCGACAGGCGTCCCGAGCCTGCGGGGCGTGCGGTCAGGGGAGTGCTCCTGCCGCAGGCCCTTTGCACAGGCCTGGCCTGGCCCCTGAGAACCCCACTCTGGGATTCCGCAGGTGCCACGGGCCGGAGTACCCCCGGTTTTCACAAGTGCTGACCACCCCGGGTTTTCCCACGCAGCGGACCTCATCACAGCCGTGACTCACCCCCTGCCTCACACACGTCTGGAAGCTTCCACGTGAACCTCTTTTCCTCCGTGCTCCTGGTGGCAAGCAAGGGAAGATGGGTCAGCAGCTGAGTGACCTGTGTGGCCCCTGCAAACCCACGGCGCAGCGGAGCCTCAGTTTCCCGACCCGTGCAGGAGTTGCGGCGTGGCACAGCCGCCCCGGGACCCCGAAAGCCCTTGTTTGTTGGCCTGTGTGTTCACGGGCCCTGGGGGGCTCACCAGCTGGCGGCAGGCTGCAGACGCACGCTGGCCACCGGTTCTCCCACGGGCAGCAGGATTTGGACGTTAGTGAGCGGCGTGGACACGGCGGTGGCGCCCGCTCGGTAGCTGTACTCCACCGTGACCCGCGTGAGCGTGGGCCCGCACTGCCAGTGGGCGCTCATCTGCAGGGGCACCGACTCGGGCCCAGGGCGGGAGAACTTGGGGACGAGAAGACGCGGGTGGCTGGGCGACATCGCCGCGTCCCCCACCCCGGGTGAGCACCACCCCACCTAGCCGGTCCACGCCGCGGCAGCCAGCGGCGCCCGCACGCAGTGCCGCGCGCGGCCGGCAGGGGGCAGGAGGGAGCGGGGCCGGGCTCCACGCCCCGTCTGCGGCACTCTGCGCCCGCCCTCCAGCTCCCCACCTGGTAGCGCAGCAGCACCAGGTTGTAGTAGGAGGCCGTGGGGTTCTGCTCCGCCTGGTGCTGCAGGGCCTCCGTCAGCGCCGCCATGTTCAGCCAGAAGTCTTTGGTCTCCGGGTCGCTCTGGGAGGGGTCACTGCGGAGACGGGGGACAGAACATCCTCATCTCCAGCCTGAGATGCCGTGGGTGGGAGAGGTAGGTCCAGAGAGGGGAAGCCACCCGCCTCACGTCACACAGCAACAGGCGGGAGGCGCTGCAGGCCCTTCAGGCCCTGAGCCCCTGGCCCCGGGGGCATCTGAGACCCTCTCCCACGGCCCGTGAAAGGCACCTGAAGATCAAGTCCGCGTTGGGCTGAAAGTGTTCTACGGGGGCCGTGTGCACGAGCCGGAAGCTGAGGACGGGTGGGGGTGGGGTCCCACTGAACACTCGCACGATGCCAGCGGGGAAGGTCATGGTCAGCTCCCCGGTGATTCGAGCCAGGCAGCTGGGGAGCCAGGGAAGCACTGGGTGTGGGATCGGGGCTCCGCGTTCCCACCCTCCCGGTTCCGCTGCCACCAACGCTCCTGGGAGGCTCTGACTGTCTCCAACACCGACTCCCCGACTTCTTTCTCTTCCATCCCTGCCTGGCGGGGTGACACACACACACACACCTGCCTGGCGGGGTGAAACACACACACACACACACACCTGCCTGGCGGGGTGACACTGACACACACACACACACACACACACACACACCTGCCTGGCGGGGTGAAACACACACACACACACACACACACACACACACACACACACACCTGCCTGGCGGGGTGAAACACACACACACACACACACACACACCTGCCTGGCGGGGTGAAACACACACACACACACACACCTGCCTGGCGGGGTGAAACACACACACACACACCTGCCTGGCGGGGTGAAACACACACACACACACATACACACCTGCCTGGCGGGGTGACACACACACACACACACACACCTGCCTGGCGGGGTGAAACACACACACACACACACACACCTGCCTGGTGGGTGGGGTGAAACACACACACACACACACACACACACACACACACACACACACACACGAAGCTTGGGCTAAGGAACGTATCTCTCCTAGGTCCCTTTTCTCCTGGCCCACCAGGAATCACTGCTGGTGTGAGCACCTCCAGCTTGGGTTCAGGGTCTAAAGATCCCCTCTTCTCTGTGGCTTAATGTTAAGGTCTTCTGTCAACCCCGGGGATGGCAAGCCAGGGTCCCCAGTTCACCACGGCCATGTCCGCACCCCACTTCCCTTCGGCTCAATACCACAGCCTCCTCAGAGGAGCCTCAGGGTTCCCTAGCCTCAGTCACGCGCCCTCAGGTTGACCCTGCACTTGGCATCGCCTACCTGGGGCTGTGACCACGGAAATAGGCGTGGACGTACTCAGTGAAGGCCGTGGCCACAGGCAGGGTGTCCTGGGATCCCAGGACCACAGGGCTGGGGCCACGTGAGATACCTGTGGGGGGACGGGGTCAGAGGCGGGGCAGGCCCCACCCACTCAGCCACCGTCCCCGACAGAGAAGGCCCCCAAGGCCCCAAGGGGAGCTGTCCCCACAAACCATGTCCCATCTGGGTGGAGAAGTTGGGCCGATCCGGGGCGATGCTCGGGGCAGAGGATCCCAGCGGGGAGGGGCTGAGGGACCGGCACTGCAGGGCAGGAGAGAATCAGGGCTGTGAACTGCCCTGGGCTGCCTGCAGGGGCGGCCCCTTCCCCACGGGAACGGCCTCACTGCCGTGTCACCCACCAGGTCACCGTTGCTCCTGGTGAGTGGGCAGGACACTTTCCTGGACCGAGGTCTCCTGGGTGGCGCAGCCAGACCCTCCCGGGTGGTGGACTCAGCAGGCATCGTGGAGTCTAGATGAGAACAAGGCTGGGCTGACCAGACCCTCAGGTGGCAGAGTGCTCTCTCCCCGTCCCACCCTCCAGCCGCTTAGGCTCCGGGCCAGCTGCTTTCCCTGCAGCCTGGGTTGGTGGATGCCCATTTCGACCGTTTAGATGACATCTCCATCCAGCGGTGGCCACAGGGTGCAGCCACGCCTCCTTCAAAGTCCGAGTCCCACAGCTGTCTTAGGCCCATCCGTCCTTCCAGGCGCCCCAGCTCCTGCAGCTCGCTGCCAGCCTCTTGGCCCAGAGGAGACTCCAGCACCACGTGGCCAAGTCAACTCCTGCCCTCCTGCCCCAGGGCCTTTGCTTGACCATCGCATGGTCCCACCTAGGAGGGCCTCCACCTGGCGCCCAGCCTGCCAGGGACGCCCGCTGGGCTCCAGCTCACCTGCGCCTGCCTCTGGCCCCCAGGGGCCTGGCGAGGGTGCACGGGGCATCGGGCCCCTGGCCTCAGGGTGCTGCGTCCTGCAGGTGGGTGGGCTCTGCGGGGTGCCTGGCCGGGGGACCCAGGACTCAGGGGACGGGCCGGGGGCAGCGTGCGATGGGGAGTCTAGGCCCGAGTCCTCCACGTTCTCGGGGGACGAGGAAGAGAACGGGGACGGGCTGGACGTGAAGCCCAGGCTGCTGGAGCCTACGAGGGAGCACGGCCAGGGCGTGGTCAGCACAGTCCGCGCCCGCCCGGCCCTCACCTCCCGCATCAGTAGGCCCTCGACGGGACCACGCTCCCAGCCACCCCCTCCAGCCAGTCCCCACCCACTGGGGGGCCCGACCCGCTCTCCCTGCCGCGCACACCCCCTCTACCCGTGAAGTCCTCATGGTCGAAGGCGGACTCCAGCGGCGGCCCGAAGAGGCTCTTAGACAGCGGCTCCTCCGACGCCAGCGGCTTCTCGGCACAGCTGGGGACGGCGACAGGGACGGGTCCGAGCCTCGCACCTGAGGCTTTCCCAGAGCCTTCCAGGGCTCGAGGTTTCTGCCGCCCACCCAGCGCAGCCATGCCCCCCAGCATCTGCGTCACCACACTGAGACCAGGCAAGGTCTCCCGCTGCCCAGGCTCCTGGGTGACACGCCAGCCTCACCCACAGTTAAAGCCACAGGCCTCCCGGACCCAGCGCAGCACAGACGCCTCCTAAGTGTCCTCAATCGGCCGGGGTGAGGAAGCCCGAGGCAGGGACAGGGGACCCATCTGCCTGCTCCGTCACATCCCCGCGAGACCCACCTGCCGGTCCGTGGGGCCGACCGAGGTCTCTGTGGCTTCCCAGAAGTGTCCCCTAGGACAGACAGAGCCTTGAGCTTCTGTCCCAGCAGGACCTCGGCTGGCATTTGTCAGCCGGAGGCCCAAGGTGACCAGTAGAGCGGACAGAGGGGACGGAGGGAGGCCCGGGGCTCGAGTCCTGTCCCCGGCTGCCCGCCCAGCTCCCGAGCCCGAGGGTGAGCGCCGGTCCGCCGCTCTCCAACCCACCCACTCCCGGCCGTCCAGCCCGCTCCCCTCCACCGGCACCTTCTCACCCCAGACAGGCCGGGCTACTCACGTGACGAGTGACGTTTCATGGTGCCCTGCGGAAAAAGCGAAAATTCAAGCAACAGGAGCTCAGCTGCAGCCCGCTGGCCCCCGTGCCCCTCACGGTTCCGGTCGTCCGGCTCACCCCTGGGCCTGGCGGGAGGATGAGGCTGCCAGCTGTGGCCCTGAGCTGGGCAGCGGCGGCCTCGGAGCTGCAGGCCACAGTGCGGGTGGGGGCTGGCTTGATGTGAACGTAGAACTTCCTAGGCTCCTCGTCGTCAAAATCAGAGTCACTAGAGGAGAGTCGCGGGGGCTCGGCCGTGCGTGGGCCTCTGTCAAGGAGCCAATCCTGAATGGACCACACTCCCCACCCAGAGGTCCTGCACAGTTAGTTTTGACCCTCATGCTCAGGAAGCTCAGGGGGCTTCTATTCAGCCACTACAGCCCAACACTGGTGCCCTTCCTCCAGGAAGCCCTCCTGGATGTCCCCCATAAAAGTCCACCTGTCTTGTCTGTCCGTATTTATTTTGAGACAGGATCTCTCTGCATAGCCCTGGTTGGCCTGGAACTCACAGGCTGGGCTCACACTCCAAGGTCCGCCTGCCTCTGCCTCCCGTGCTGCACTAAAGAGGTGGGCAACCACGGCCTGGCCCTCACCCTTCCCCCTCTCTACCTTCGGGAAGCACAGAGGACAAGGCCTGCGCCTGGCCCTCCCTGGTGCACAGGAGGACCCTCCCCGGGGACACAGAGCACCGAAAGGATATTGCTTTGAGACACATCGGGGCGCACAGTGAAGCCTTCGTCATCCACCTCTGGAGGCACCTGGGGACATGGCCAGGTTCCCTCCGGTGACCCGTCATCCTGCCCACCCGGGCCCCACCAGAAGGTATTCCAGGGACGTAGGCAAACCAAGGGGAAACTGAGTCAAGTTTCAGTCCCTCACAAGGGACTTGATTCTGAGCCCCCTGGGCCCCTCTGGCCTCCACCTCTCAGGCTTGACTGTCCAGCCCCGCCTGCCCGCCGCCCCTCCCCCACAGTACTCACCCCTGAATCAGACTCCAGGAAGTCACTGGGGACAGAGGAACAGGGGTGAGTGCCCAGAGCCCCCAGAAGGGATGCCCACCATGTTACCCCAAGCTAGCCCATTGGCCGGGACCCTTGGGCTTCAGAGATAGCTTCAAACAGCAGAGCAGATAAGGAGCTAGCCTTGGCAAATGAGCTAGCCTTGGAGGGATCATGGCCAGCCTAGGCTACGATGGGCCAAGCACGTTCTGGCCCAGCCTGGGTGAAAGGAGGGATTCCAGACGAGTTTGGGGAGTGGCTCTCTTGGGCTAGCCTAGGACAGAGGTCTTTCTGGGCTAGCCCAGGCAGAAGTGATCCTGGGCTGGTCTGAGATAGGGACTTCTGTGCTAGCTGGAGCAAGTGGAAGGGTTTTGGGCTAGCCTGGGCCAGCATGGGGCACTTCCTCACACAGATGCACGGGGCTCCCGCCGGCTCAGTCCCGGAAGGCGGAAGGCCTTGGCTCCTCGGAGACGCTTCATTGCTGTGGACAGAGGGAGGGCAGCTAACCTCTGGAAGGCTCTCCCTCTTTTTGTTCAGAACCCCCTCCCACACTCCTGGTCTAGCCTGGGCATCCAGGCCCAGACGTACTTGCCTTCCTGCAGGGCAGCTGTGCTGTAGGCATCGAAGTCCAGAGGCCCTGGGTCAACAAAGAGGAAGTAAGTCTGGGGGGCGGAAGCAGGCCCGCCCCGACACAGCTCCGCAATGGACGCCGTGGAGGGCGTGAGAAGGGGACCGAGGCTGGTAGACCCGGCTGACTGGACATAGAGACAGCAGGAAGGACAGCTTTCCTGTCACCTGGGTCCGGGGACACAGCATGCCAGCAGTTAGGGGATTGTGATCACCACTTTAGCGATGAGGAAGCAGGCTCAGAGAAGTCAAGACTTGTGACCAGGGTCACACAGCAAGAAATGAAAAAAGGACCCAACCCCAGCCTGGCTATCAAACTTGCTCTCGACAAGGGCATCTTGCGCTCAACACCCTCCATGGCTTCCTTAGGCTCTAGAGACAGTGAGAAACAGCCGAGCTTCCGAGGCGAGCTTTCATGACCCCTTGGGGGTTCGGGTCTAGGCCAGGACTGTGTGAGATCAGCCATCAGACGCCTCCCCTACGTGCTGGGGACAGAACTGCCCAAGAGGAACCCGAGGGCCAGGGAGCCCGCTGTCACCCACCGGGCTTCTCGCGGCCGGTGCCCTTGCTCTCGGCAAACTTCCGGAGGAGCATGTCCACCGTCACATTCTCCACGTTCTGCTTGAATTCCTCATGCACCTGGGTGGGCGGGGGCAGGGCGTGAGGGGGCGGGCCTCCGTGGGGCGGGCCAGGGCAGCGGGGCCCCTCCTCACCTGCCCGATCTGCACGTGGGTGTCCTCCACCGAGTGCGCATAGGAGCCCAGCAAGGCCTTCATGTGCTGCAGGTGCGCCTCCTCCATGGCCTGGAAGCGCTGCGATGGGAGGGGCGCGTGACCCGGGCTGACCAATCAGATCAGCCCAGCTCCCGCTCTGCCCGGCTTAGGGACACACCAAGGAGGTTCTGCGTTCAGATTTTAGCTACCAGTCAAAAGGACATTGCTGTCCCCAACCTCCCTGCCCTCCCATGTGCTGGCCTTTGATCCCAGTACTGGCAGAGGCAGGAGGATCTCTGTGAGTTCGAGACCAGCCTGGTCTACATAAAGGAAAATGGCCCTGCTGGCTTAGAGACACAGCTACTCTTTCCACACACGCGCCCCACCGTGTCCCCTGTCAGCGAAGTCCTTAGAAACCAACAACCAACCGCAGAGAGAGGACATCCCAGTGACGCCATTGGAACACCTGGATCCAGCCATGCCTGACGCCCCCACACCCACCAAACAAAGGCATCATCACGGCAGCAAAACCATGTTCCGGGACATTCGCTCACTGCATGAGGATGTGTCTGTGTTTTGCCTCATCTGCCTAAGGCACCTGATGATTTAATAAAGAGCAGAATGGCCAATAGCTAGGCAGGAGAGGATAGGCGGGCCTCCTGGAAGAGAGCGGAACTGTGGGAAGAATAAAGGCAGGATTGGCAGCAAGACACGGAGGAAGTCTGATGTACAGAGTGGAGGAGAGTTAAAAAGCCACGTGGCAGAATGTACATTAATAGAAACAGGTTAATTTAAGTTAGAAGAGCTAGCTGGGAACACCTAAGCTAAGGCCAAGCTTTCATAACTAATAATAAGTCTACATGTCATTATTTGGGGGCTGGCGGTCCAAAGAAAGTCCAACAAGAAAGATCTGCTATATTTGGGGTCCAACATCGGGCATGTATATTCATGCATAGAGAAGCTGGTGAGCTACCTGGAGGGAGACTAGAAACCATGGGCCGGGCGGTGGTGGCGCACACCTTTAATCCCAGCACTCAGGAGGCAGAGGCAGGCGGATCTCTGTGAGTTCAAGGCCAGCCTGGTCTACAAAGCGAGTCCCAGGACAGCTAGGGCTGCTACACAGAGAAACCCTGTCTGGAAACACTAACCCCCCCCAAAAAAAAACCTGTCATAGCGCGGGCCCACCAACTTCCTAGAACTGGGGCAGTAACGCTGCTCTTGGAAGAAGCCCTTGGGCATGAGGCTGTCATGGAGAGGCAAACATCAGCTTCTTCTGCCCAGTGTGGCAGCCTGCTGGACGTACTGTAGGGGTGGAGACAGCTGCCAGCGCCATGTGCCAAGCGGAGCCCCGCGGCAGGTAGCCTGGCTGTTTAAGGCTTCGTTCATGCAGCCAGAGAGCCACACGAAAGGCCAGGGCCAGACCAAAAACACCTCTGAACAGACAGGCACAGTATGCTTGAAAATGTGCTTAGATGCTGAGGAAAGAAAGTTAAAAAAAAAAAAAAAAGGCAGTCATAGAAAAAAAAGTTTAAATAATAAAGTCTTTAAAGAGAGAGTAAAGTAACTTAAAAAGAACAAGCCACGTAAGGATGGAAAACACACAGGTGTCTGGATCCTGCATGGTGTTCTGCTGACTTTGAATTATTTGAATGCTGATGAGCCAAGGGTAAACACTGCTAAGAGACATTGGATTGCAGAAAAAACTGCTAAATAAAACCAGCCCATATATTTTAAGGCTGTTTTAACTTCAATTCCAGCTACAAATCCCTAGGTGGGTCTGTTTAATGAAGGTTTCTACTTCTCAGAATGCCAAGGCTGGCCTTATATTGACAGGTAGCCCAGAAGGACCTTGAATTCCTGATCCTCCTGTCTCGGGTCCCTGGAGCTGGGAGACTGAGGCTGCAGCTGAGGACAGGGCACTCCCGCGGGGAGCGTGGGGACCAGCCGCCACGGGGCGAGGTTCTCACCAGGGCGGACTCTAGCATCTTGGTCTCGAAGTCCGCCCGGGCGGAGTTGTACTTATCCACAGAGCGCCTCAGGCTGTCGGCCGCCTTCTTGCTTTTGGATTCTGCCTGGGAATCATAGACAGGGTCTGTGTGAGTCGTCATGGGCACAGTCGGGTGGCTTTACCACCCTGCCAACCCATCTTCTGAAAGCCAAGGGAGGTGGCCGCACGGCTGAGTGCCCAGGGCTGTGTGGCATGCTGTCTCTCTCTGGTCAGGAGGCCGACAAACCTTGTCCATCTCCTTCTGGCTGGTGTTCTCTCTGCGCATCCGCTCCAGGTCCATGCAGCGGCTCAGGTAATTCTCCCGAGACTTTGGCAGGAGCTGACCCACGCTGGCCAGCACCTGCACCGCATCCACAGTGCCCAGAACCTCCTCCTTGCACTGCGGTAGGAAAAGGAGGGGAGGGGCGTGGTCAGGGGTGGAGCCCCGCCTAGAATCCCCCAGTGAGGGGCTGGGGGCGTGGTCAGGGTGGAGCCCCGCCTAGAATCCCCAGTGAGGGGCTGGGGGCGTGGTCAGGGTGGAGCCCCGCCTAGAATCCCCAGTGAGGGGCTGGGGGCGTGGTCAGGGGTGGAGCCCCGCCTAGAATCCCCAGTGAGGGACTGGGGGCGTGGTCAGGGTGGAGCCCCGCCTAGAATCCCCAGTGAGGGACTGGGGGCGTGGTCAGGGTGGAGCCCTGCCTAGAATCCTCCAGTGAGGAGCTGGGGGCGTGGTCAGGGTGGAGCCCCGCCTAGACTCCCCCAGTGAGGGGCTGGGGGCGTGGTCAGTGTGGAGCCCCGCCTAGAATCCCCAGTGAGGGGCTGGGGGCGTGGCTCAGGGTGGAGCCCCGCCTAGACTCCCCCAGTGAGGGGCTGGGGGCGTGGTCAGTGTGGAGCCCTGCCTAGAATCCCCAGTGAGGGGCTGGGGGCGTGGCTCAGGGGTGGAGCCCCGCCTAGAATCCCCAGTGAGGAGCTGGGGGCGTGGCTCAGGGTGGAGCCCCGCCTAGAATCCCCAGTGAGGGGATGGGGGCGTGGCTCAGGGGTGGAGCCCCGCCTAGAATCCCCAGTGAGAGGCTGGGGGCGTGGCTCAGGAGTGGAGCTCCTGTCTATAATCCCCCAGTGAGGGGCTGGGGGCGTGGTCAGGGTTGGAGCCCCGCCTAGAATCCCCCAGTGAGGGGCTGGGGCGTGGCTCAGGGTGGAGCCCCGCCTAGAATCCCCCAGTGAGGGGCTGGGGGCGTGGTCAGTGTGGAGCCCCGCCTAGAATCCCCAGTGAGGGGCTGGGGGCGTGGCTCAGGGTGGAGCCCCGCCTAGAATCCCCAGTGAGGGGCTGGGGGCGTGGCTCAGGGGTGGAGCCCCGCCTAGAATCCCCCAGTGAGGGGCTGGGGGCGTGGCTCAGGGGTGGAGTGGCAGCCAGGAATCCGCCAGTGAGGGGCTGGGGTGCGGGCTTGTAAGTGGGTGCGCAGGCCCGTCTGGGGTCGTGGGTGCCCCAGCCCCCTGCACGCCTGCCAGGGCGGCCCGCTACCTTTTTGTGGGCCTTGAGCTGCTCCTCCCCGTATCGCAGCACGTCCTTGAGGAGGTCGTGAAGCTTCCTCGTCAGCTCCAGGTGGCAGAGCGCCAGCTTGTCGGAGGACACGCGGAAGACCTCCCAGAGCGGGGCGAAGGTCCTGGGGACAGGCAGAGTCCAGCGCAGCTGACGGTGCTGACGTGGGACTTGGCGGAAGTCGGGTCCCCCAGGGCCCGAGGTCACCAGGCCCCCCCATCCAGCTGCACTCACCCCATGGGGGTCCCATTGCTGGCCAGCTTGGACAGCTTGGCCATGGCCTTCGAGTATGTCTCTTCGATGCTGGCCCTGGATCGGAGAAGGGGCAAAGATAGGCAGATTCAGGTACCCCGAGACAGGTCTTTCTCTGCCTCAGTTTCCCCATCTCTACACCTCGTTCTCAAAACAGAGTTTTGGAAACTGACTGGATAATTTTATTTTTCCTTAAGTAACCTTTTTTAGTTTTTTTTTAAACAAGGTCTAGATAAGTGGTCTAGACGGGCCTCAAATTCGCGGTAATTCTTTAGCCTCCACTTTCCCCCTGGGGTTATGGGGCACACCATCATGCCTGCATCATACATGTTTGCACTTCTGATGCTAGCACTCAGGGTTTTAACTCCCTCCTGTGAGTACATGATCTTATTTTCAGTAGCGGAGGCACCAGACCCCCGGGACTGGTTTAAAAGGTGCATGCAGCCACGGCCCCATGGCTGCAGAGCTCCGGCCTCCCCTCAGGGTCACAGCCCGGCCCTCCACCCCACCAACTGGAGTGCGCTGGGCGACTTTGGGGTGGCGGCTGTACCCCCAGCCCTAGTTCTCGCCTATGGAAAATGGTGGCGATGGTAGTGAGTGAGATGGCCCAGTGCGTAAAGGGCTGGCAGCCAAGCCCGACGACCTGAGCTCAATCTCCAAAATCCACGGGTGGAAGGAGACAGTCAACTCGACTAAGGCCCTCTGCCCTTCACATATATGCCAGGGCATGAGCACCACCCCCTCCACACAGTTCAAAATAGGAAATAAAACAGGAGGTGGCTTGAGGCAGAAAGGGACCCGTGGGGTCGGAGGACTAAGTCGTTTGATTCCGGGAACCCCAGGAGATCTGCACCCTTGATCCCAGTAAAGAGGCGGTGAGCCAGAGCCCTGGTGGGCGTGTCCCGGGTGGGCGTGCCCCGGGGTGGGCGTGCCCCGCGCCTCACCTCTCCCTGATGAAGTCAGCCAGCTCCTTGGTGGCCACAGGGCCCTGCTTCACACAATGGTAGAGGACCTCAAAGCCGTGGTTCTTGTCACCCTGTGAGGGATGAGAGAGAAGGGCATCCGGTTGCCGAGCAACAGAGGCAGGCTTGGGAGCCCTGAAAGGTCTGCTGAGACGGGAGAGACCTCACTGGATCAGCAGGCTGCACTCTCCCACCGGCCAGCGGGAAGCCGGGGACTTCCACCATCTCCTCCCGGGTGTCCCGTGGCCAGAGGTCGACATCCCATGTCTTCCTCTATCCTCCTCCACCTCGTTTTCGGAGTCAGAGTCTTCCTGAACCCGAAGCCCGTGACTAGAGCCTCAGGGATCCTCCTGCCTCTGCCTCCCCTGTGCTGGGTTACCCACCTGTCCTAACATGCCAGCTTTTCACATGGCCGCTGGGGCCTTGAACTCAGATCCCGATGCTCGCAATGCAAGCGTTTCTCCAACCAAAGCCAAGAGTGGAACAAACCCAGGTCAGCCTCGTGTCCACACGTCCCCGCTACCATCACCATCTCCCACCCTGGACCCAGATCAGCGGCCAACACCCCAAAAGTCCTCAGTGTGTTCCTGTTTCCTCACCTCAGCTCTTAGCTTCCTCCTGGACCCGCCGGCTTCCACCCATCCCACGGCCCCATGGCTGCAGAGCTCCGGCCTCCCCTCAGGGTCACAGCCCGGCCCTCCACCCCACCAACTGGAGTGCGCTGGTCGACTTTGGGGTGGCGGCTGCACCCCCAGCCCTAGTTCTCGCCTATGGAAAATGGTGGCGATGGTAGCGACTGCCACACGACGGCTTTGTGGGTGAGACGTGTCTGGTACTCTGCTGGACACAAAGGCCCTCTGGGTAATGACACAGCTCCCACTGAGCCCACCTGCCGCTGCTGGGGATCCTCGGGTGAGGCTGCACCGGGCACGGCCGCCCAGGCCGTTATCTGGGGCGAACAGAGCCAGCCACTGGCCCGTTTCCCGGACCTGGCAAGTCCTCAGTGCTGTCTGCCTCCGAGAAGTGGGCGGACAGCCGAGGGTCTGCGGAGAGGCGTCCAGGGCCTGTGTCCGATCAGAACCTCTGGTGACAGCCAAAGGACATCTTAACGTGGTTTCATACCCCTAGTGCGCTCCCATCCGCCATGGCTCCCCAGTGCTCTCTAGGCTTCTGACCCTGACTTGTCTCAAAGGAGCTGGGGCACCCCAAATACCAGTCAGCATTGGGGCGTGGCTCAGGGTGGAGCCCCGCCTAGAGTCCCCAGTGAGGGGCTGGGGGCGTGGCTCAGGGGTGGAGCCCCTGCCTAGAGTCCCCAGTGAGGGGCTGGGGGCGTGGTCAGGGTGGAGCCCCGCCTAGAGTCCCCAGTGAGGGGCTGGGGGCGTGGTCAGGGTGGAGCCCCGCCTAGAATCCCTCAGTGAGGGGCTGGGGGCGTGGTCAGGGTGGAGCCCCGCCTAGAATCCCCAGTGAGGGGCTGGGGGCGTGGCTCAGGGGTGGAGCCCCCGCCTATTACATTTGAGGCACTGGCCTTCATCCCCAGCAGGGAATTAACAGAAAAGGAGTCTGATGTCTTAACCATAGATCCATGTCTCAGAAGACAAAACTCTCATTCATTTTCTGTACCTCCCGGGGAAACTGAGGCTGGTTGGCCAGCCCTTCCGGGGGAGAACCTCTGAGCCAGTGGGATCCTGACTCAAAGGTCTGAGCCCTCGCAGCTGCGCTATCTTGGGGTGTGCATGGGAGGGAAGTTGGGGTGGCTTCTATTCTCTCTGCTCATTGACTTCCCCCGTTTTCACACCTCGTGGAATCCTGCAGGAGCAACTGCCACCACCCCCGCGATGGGCGTCTCCTAGGCTGCCGCTGCAGGACAGCGCTGCAGGACAGCGCTGCAGGACAGCGCTGCAGGACAGCGGTTCCGATAACAGCCAGAGGACACCACCTCCCGGCCATCACACGGTCATTCAGAGGCCATGCGAGAATCTGAGCCCTGCAGGTGGCAAGGGACAGCGGGCCCTTTAAGAAAATAGAGGCAAGAAAGAGGAGCCCCAGCTGGGGAGGGAGAATGGGAAGGAGTGGGGCTTGTTGCTAGGGGCAACTGGTTGCTTAGCAACCAGCTACCACTTTGCAAGCTGTGGGCCTGCTGGGGAGGAAGGGGCCTTTCAGCCTGACGCCTCTCAGACTCCAGGCTCCCATTCTGGGGCTGCTTCCGCGTCCTTGGTGGCTCCCCAGTTCCCTGGCCCAACCACCGGGGAGGGGACCCCGGTCCTTGAGTGCCACCCAGCGCCACACCTCCGAGATGGACTCGGGGTGTTTCCTGTGGTTGTGATGGCTTTTGCTCATCCTGGAAAACCCGCCTCCAGGGCCACAGCACTCTGGGCTGTGGGGAGGTGGGCTGAGCTGCAGGATCTGGCTCGCTCCATGTCCCCAAGAATGGCAGCTCCTCTCTCAGGGCACAGATGTGGCTTTATGAGAGTCTCTCTTCCCCATCCCCAGACCTGGTTTTCAGCAGGCCTAGGTGGCCAAGAGGGGCATGGGGGGGGGGGGGCGTGAATCCTCCCCAAAGAACAAATTTCCCAAGATGTTAAAAAAAAAAAAAAAAAAGCATAGAATTTCTCTGGTGGGCTTGTTTGGCCCAGGTGTGAGGCCGTGCTGTTCTGTCACTTGTGGAAACAGGTTACTGTCTACCACAGGCTGGCTAGGACCTGCCATTCTCCTGCCTCAGCATCCCTAGGTCTAGGATCCCAGGTGTATGCTCCCACGCCCAACTTCATGCTGTTCTGCTGAGCGATTCTCAGATACACATGCTGCTCCAGGCCTGATTCTCAGTGCTATAATTTGTGTTCCTTGCCCTAGGTCAAGGCAACCTGTGTCTCCATGTTTTAGACTCTACCTTCTATCTGCCCAGTTCCCCCTTGACCATAAAAGTCCCTACAGCCCTCTGTGAGCCTCCACCATAATAAGAGCAGCGAAGGATGAACAAAAAGGGAACAGAAGGAGCAGCAGGTCTTACCCAGAAATGTTCCCCAAAATATGACATCCTGGTGGCCTCTGAGGAGACCCTGCTGGCCTCTGTCCAGTATCCGTCTGAAAAGAGAGGTAAGTTTGGGGGCTGAGTCATAACCAGCAAGGGCCTGAAGAGGGAAATCCCACCCCCTCCCTGCTGCAGGGAGGGCTAAGGAAGTGCAGCCCAAGGCCCGAGCAGGTCAGGCCCCAGAGATTCCTCAGGCTTGGCCCTGTGGCCCCAGGTAACAGGACACATGTCTCAGTCTCATGGGGCTGAGCGTGGGCTTGGGGACAGGGGCTAGGATGGAGGAGGCCATAATGGGAGGGGGTTTTAAGCATGATAGGAGTTTGTGGGTAAGGGCTAGAGTGGTATTGAATCAACTGAATTCTAGACAGAATGGTTCTAGGCCATTTCAGATGTAGGGAAACTGAGTCATTTCCCAAGAGGGGAAGCTACTTGCCAAGGTCAAATGTCAGGAAGGGACGTGGATTTTGTGTCTGAACAGCGGGGTGGTTTCTGTGGGAAGTTTGGGCATGATGTACAGGGGCCCCTCCAGTGTCGGGGGCTCCATGAGTCCCAACCACCCCTCGGGAGCCACTATTCACCTGTTCCAAGTCACTCCGCTCTGTGCCTCAGTTTCTCCATCTGTAGGAGACAGAAAACCCAGAAAAGTTTTGGAGACTTTGCATAGGGTGGGGCCACGTGACATGGAGGGGTGTGCAGAATCCTCACACACCAAGGCTGGCTGTCACAGGAGCCGGCGTCCTCATCCATAGTTCATGAGCTGCTGGGCTGCATGGTGACAGCTGGAGCCCAGGGGACCCAGCGACAGACTAGATGCGGACAGCTGACCGCAGGGCCTGGCCCCACTGGGAGAGGACCCACTTAGCTCTGAGCCTCAGTTTACCAAACACTGAACTTAGCTTTCCTTTGTTTGTTGCTCCTTAGCCCAACCTGGCCTGGATCCTCCTGCCTCAGCCTCCAGAGTTCAGGGACTCAAACTGCACGTCATGCCCGGCATGAGAGGCAGTGTGTCCCAGATGTAAGGAGAACGCTGTGGAAGCCAGGTCCAGTGAGAGGGATCTGGCAGCTGAGGCCCTGGAGCAGGCATAGGAGTTCACCAGGGAAATAATGACTTCATTTCCATGTCTGCCCTCCCTCCCTGGGTTGGGCAATGCTTCTAGAAGCTCCTTTGTTGTGAGACAGGCAGGAAAGCCCCAAATGTCCACATTGTGGCTTTTCTTGGTTTCCCTTGATTTTTGAAGCAGGATCTCACTTTGCATCCCAGGCTGATCTCTAACTCATGTCCATCCTCCTGCCTCAGTCTCCTAAGTACTGTGGCGACAGCCTGGAGCCACTACACCACCTTCCTCCTGTACCCTGGTGCCTGGCTGGGACCCAGCCGGCCTATCTGAATCCCCTAAAATGTGCTGAGGGCAGCAGACCCGATGCCCCTACACCCATGTGACAACTTCATCTTTTTTTTTTTTTTTTTTTTTTTTTTTGGTTTTTTTTTTTCCGAGACAGGGTTTCTCTGTGTAGTTTTGCGCCTTTCCTGGGACTCACTTGGTAGCCCAGGCTGGCCTCGAACTCACAGAGATCCGCCTGGCTCTGCCCGAGTGCTGGGATTAAAGGCGTGCGCCACCACCGCCCGGCGACAACTTCATCTTATATGAAGTAAAATCCATCCCCCGGGGTCGGGCCCTCACATGCACAAGCCCGGGAGCCACGCTGGGGAGGTGGCAGCCATCTGTGACAGACCAGATAAACTTCTGCCAGGTTGAAGAGGCTCTTGGGCCGCGGGTGCTGGTCCCGGAAGTCATCAATATCCCCAGAGCTCCCCCCCTTCCCCCGCGGCCACATGCAAGTAGGCACACATGCCGTCCCCAGCCCCACGCGCATCCACTCACCCCACCGGCCATCCCATCTACACTAGACACCTAGACATCATCTCTCACAACCGCAGCTGCCCGCCCGGCTGCCCAGAACTCCACCCAGTGGCCCTTGAAGGTCCACAACCTCGGGTGGCAAGAGGCGGCGCCAAGGATGGGCCCTGGTGTTGCCACCTGGCCCAGGAAGTGACAGCTGACCCCAGACCGGAGCCCACACCCGTGGGACACCATCCTGTTCGGAGGTGACAAAGATAGGTGCTGGGGTGAGACTCACCGAAGGGCAGCGAGGGGGGCTGGGGCCCCTGGAGACGCAGTGAACACCGGGAGTCCACAGGCCCCTGACACTTCCGCCAGCCCTGTCTGGAGGACAGGAAGCCTGGCCCGCCCTGCCTGCCACCCAACCGTCACCTCCCCGCCCAGCACCCCTGGGACCTCCCCACAGCCACAGGGCGGCATGTGGGAGGGGAAGTGGGCTGAGGGAGCAGGTGGGAGCGACGTGATCACCACCAGAGACCCACTAATTAAAATGAGTGTGACCACCCACGGAGCCTCTACCTTGGCCCAAGCTAGTCCAGGATGACCAAGAGGGGAAACTGAGGCTTGAAGATGTGTGAAGCCTCCCCCTCAGAAAAGGGAAACTCGGATATTCTTTACAACTCCTTCAGGACCAACAGATTAAAGCTTGTTTTAGACAAGGTCTCATGTAGCCCAGGCTGGCCTCAAACTCCTGACCCTCCCGCCCCCATCCCAGGCGCTGGGGTGACAGGGCGCACCACCACGCCCGGCTTCGAAATGTAGAAACTGAAATCTATAACGTGTCCCTCGTCCCCGTGCTCTTGGAGTTTTTTCTTTGTTGTTTGCTTGTTACCCATGTGATCTGAAAAGAAGTTAAAACACCACCGAGGCCCCTAAAAATATCGTAGGACTAAGGCAGTTTTCCTAATGTAACTCAAGGCTTCCTGGCCTCTGCAACATGAGGCCCAGAGACTGACAGACACTTGATCAGCATCACACAGCACCCCCCACTTTCCCCACCAATTCCCCAAAACCGGGGCCTGGGTGTGTGAACAGCGTCTGGGTGCAGAGGACAGGCACCAGGGGGTCAGGTACACCACACCCAGCGGGCACTCTGGATGCTGCCCGCAGGTGTGCCCGCAGCCCTTGACCCTTTGCCATGTGACCTTCAACATGCCTGTCACTCCGAGCTCATGCTGCCCCAGACTTCAGCCAGCACCCCATGCGGAAACTGAGGCCCCTGTGCCAGCCTCCAGCTGAGTCATTTCATTCAATGCACACACATTGAGCACCACTGTGTACCCCAGCCCATGGGACGCCGGTGACTCTGGTCACACCCTTCAAAGACATCCATTTTCTCGTTGGCTCTGACCCCATTTAATGAGCGCAATATCATAATTAATATCACAAGGAGGGTGTTTACAGCCGCGCTCACTCCACTGCCCCCTCTCATCTTCCCACGGGGTTTCGGCCCATTTCACAGAAGGCTCAGCCAGTCTGAGCACACCAGTTTGGGGTGTCAGGCTTCCTGCCCTAGGACGCACCCCACTGCCCTGCAAGGGGCAGGGGCTAAGCGCCTGACCTCCCACCTGGGACCCCGCCCAGGAGCCGGCAGGGCCCTGGCGTAGGTGATGGTATGTGGGTCAGGGTGTGACCCGGGCAGCCGCACCGGTGGGACCGGGGTGACTGAGACCGGGTCTTGATTGCAGGCGGGTCCCGTCTTAGGGTCACGTGGGAACTGTCCTCTCCTGGCCCTAGGTCCCTCCAGGAAGGCCAGACTGTACCCATCCATCAGTGTCATGGTTTGGTTTTGTTTATGCTTTTTTACGAGGCAGAGTCTGGCTATGTAGCCCAGGCTGGCTACAAGCTGCAGACCTTCCTTCCGGCTCAGCCTCCCCAGGACAGGAATGACCCTGCCAGGCTCAACCCATTTTAAAGGGCCGAAAACTGAGTCTCCCCTAACCTTTGGCCAAAGACTGGCATCCCCATCTGGCGAAAATGGTGTGTGCATATTGGGAATCTGAGACAGACAGTCTGGCCTCTTCAGCCTCTGTATTCCAAAGAGGAGACTGAGAGTGAGGGAGGTACTGTCACCTGCCCAAGGTCACCATGAAGCAGGTCCCGCGATGCTGCGGGCGAGCGGAGGGGCTTCCACCCCCGACCTCCTCCGCACCCCATCCTCAGTCACCTCGACTAATTCTGTCCCTGGGAGCAGATGCGGGCCGCCCCCCCCCACAGAGCGCGGGAGTCCCCGGTGCGGGCTCCAGGCCTCTCCAGGCCCCGCTCGCCAGGGAGGGGACCCCAGTTCCCCCGCTGCCCCACCGCACTCGCCCTGCAGAGCCCCCACCTGCCTGCCAAGCCCGGGGCCGGTGCAATGGAAGGGAGGGGACCCCGACTGGCAGGCGAGGATGGGGGCCACATGGGTAGCGGGGGAGGCGGCCCCCCACCTTAGGGCCTGGGAGATGAGGGCTGAAGACCCAGGGGAGGGATTTGGAGGTCCTGGGGTCCCCGCTTCCCAGCCCGGGATTGAGGGGGAGCAGCAGTGGAGCGGCGCCCCGCCTTCTGCAGGCGGCACCTGCGCCCGGGCCGGGTCCGGATGAAGGCTGTGCCCGCCCGCGCCCCCGCCCCGCACCCCGCGCCCCGCGCCCCGCGCCCCGCGCCCCGCGCCCCCGCGCCCGGGGACACTCACCCCCGCGCCGCCACCACCTGCGCGCTCCGGACCCGCGCCCCGCCCCTCCCCGCGCGCTGCGGAGCGCGCCGCTGGCCCCGCCCACGGGGTGTGGTCTGAAGGAGCCCCCGCCCCACGGAGCTTCACAATCCCTACGCTGGTTGGCTGAGCCGCGCCACTCACCCGCAGGCTATTTGCATAGTTTAAAGGGATAGGAGCCGCTCCTTGTTCCCTGCACCTGTGCGTCCCGCTGGAGGGAGGGAGGGAGGGAGGGAGGGAGGGAGGGAGGAGCAGCATTTATTGAGTACCTACTGTGTGCATGGCTTATTGGAGAACCCCTCCGAGGCTGTGAGTGAGGTAATATTTGATATTGAGCCTCATTTTACAAACAAAGGCGCTGAGAGGGCTTGGAGTTGCTTTGGACCTCACACAGCAACTCTGGTCCACCCATTCACACTACGCGTCACTCATTAACTTATTCAGGCTGTTCTGATGACGAAATCCAGCACTACGAAAGAGCTACATATCTACCCCATCCTCACATGACAATTTTTAGACTTACAACTCCCTGGCCTGGGCTCTGTTTTAAACTTTTATTCGGGGACACAACCTGCCTAATTAACCCCAGGCCACCAGCCTCTCCTACCCCTGAAGCACCTCCAAGGAACTGGGACCACCAGCCTGGGGACACTGTGGAGGCTAAGTGCCCTTTCGTCCTCAGTGCATAGCCCTGGAGCCTTTGGACCTCAGACACCGCATTTTCCTGTGGCTGGGGGTCAGGCCAGGTCAGCCCCAGCCTGCCGCTGCCCCACCTCTCACTTGGACACATCTTCCGCAGCTCTGTCCCCAAATGATGCTGAGTTCCGATGGCATGCACATTTAAACACCAGCTTTAGGGCCAGTGAGAGGGCTTACGCCGGCAAAGATGCCTGTAGCGAAGCCTAGGTTTGATCCACATGGTGGGAGGGAAGGGACCCCTGTAGGGTGTCCTCTGACCTCCTTGAGTTTGCTGAGGCATGCCCACGCTAACCTACTGTTACCAATTAAAACAATAAAGATCAAACCTGTGAGTTCGCTAGCAGCAGGGTGGTCATGGGAATCCTTATAGATGCCACACCCCGCTTGGTTCATGACCTCGAGGTAGAATGGCCTGCATCTCCACGTGCAACCCGCAGGGACATGCACGTTCCCAGTGTCCTTGTTCTGCCCCAGGAGCCCATGTGACATTTGGTCCTGAGTCACCTTCAGGTTCTGGAGTTTGAGAATGGTAACAAAAGCATCAGACATTTAAACACACACACACACACACACACACACACACACACACGTGTGTGTGTGTGTGCCCCACAGTGGTCTGAATTCTCTACATGACTCAGTCATACTCCCATCTATGAAGTCATGGGAGACAAGTGTGGACTATCAGGAGGAAAACTGTGCGTGCGTGCGTGCGTGCGTGCGTGCGTGCGTGCGTGTGTGTATACCATTTATACACACCTCTCAATGTGTGACCATGCTGGTTAGCTTTTTGTCTGCTTGACACAAACCTAGGACGTGACCTCAATGATCTTAAAGAAGAGACTCCACGGGCCGTCCCGTGGACGTGTCTGTGGGCATTTTCTTGGTTGATGACTGGCGTGGGACAACCCAGCTCACTGTGGGCAAGTCCACCCCGGGCACGTGGTCCTGAGCTGCAGAGAGAGCCGAGCAGGAAGCGGCACTCCCTGTGGCCTCCGCTTCAGTTCCTGCCTCCAGGTCCTTGCTTGAACTACTGGCCTAAGTTCCCTTCACGCGCCCCCACTGCTTTATATCAGGGTGTTCATCACAATAAAATAGTTTAATAGAGCCCAAAGCCTGAATCAGATTGAATGGGAATGAGTTAGATCCAGAATGTTCCCCCAAAGGGTATAGTATGCAGCAATGTAAAAGAGTGCTTCCCGCCGGGATCCAGCACTTCAGAGGCTAGCCTGGGCTCCCATGTTGAAAACGGAGAATTTGGCCATCACCAGTGGGTGAGTCTACCAATAACTCCCAGTTTAAGGGGCTGGGAGAAGATTGACACATTAGGAGGCGGACTTTAGTTGGAGGGAGGGGTCGCCCCAGCTTCCCTTCCCGGCCTCCGCGAAGTCAGCAGCTGTGCTCTCCCGTGATGCTCTGCCACGACATGCTGGCAATCTGTGACCTAGGTGACCCTGGCCTGGCCCGAGACGCCAAGCCGTGGGCCTGTGCAGCGCCGCGCGTGTCCCATCCGCCTCGGGGTGGCTGCTCTTGCAGGGGCCTCCAGCACCGGGGCTGTTCTCTCATTGTTTTTGGAGATAAGGTGGGATTGGGGGCGTCCGCGCACACTGAGCCACGCCCTACCCGCCACGTCCCTCTGATTGGCCATTTTCTTGCCGTTAGCTCTTCCCGCTCCAAAGCCGCCTGGGGAGGCTTTTCTCCGGCCCAGCGGATCTGGCGCCTCACACAACTGCCCCGCAAGGTGTGACCGCGTTGACACGTCCACCCCTCCCTGCAAACCTGGGCCGGGGCGAGCGAGGGGCGGGGAAGTGAGGCCGAGGGGCTGCGGCGAAGACCCAGGGAGGGGACGCTGCAGCCTGGGGAACGCTCACCGCGGGGAAGGCACAACCGAGTCACACACACACACACACACACACACACACACACACACACACACACACACACGCACACAGGACCTGGGCCATCCTCCTGCCTCGGCACCCCGTGTTGGGATTACAGAGCATCTTTTTATCAGGGATCTGGGACTCAGACTCAGGAATTCAGGCTTGTGAGACAAGCAGTTTTCCACTGAGCTATTTCGCTCCTGCTGGGTTTTTTTTTGTTTGTTTGTTTGTTTTTTATTCATTTCAGACAATCCCACCAGGTAGCCCAGGCTGGCCTTAATGTCAACGTCCTCCTGCCTCAGCTTCCCGGGCACTGTGAAGGCATCTGGCCGCGCGCCTGGCTAAGACTCTGCACCTTCTCCTTCCTTCCTTTCCCACCCTCTCCTCCCCTCCCCAGCACCCCTCCCGGGCCCAGCCCCCATTCCCTGGCGCCCTGAGCTGTCAGCCTGGCCTCGCGCCCCCTGGCGTCCACTCGGGGTCCTGGGGCCCGGCTGGGGTCGCGCGTGGTGACGGGGAGGACCGCAGACAGCTGCGGAGACGGCAGGTGGGGGGGCGGGTCGAAGGGGAGGGCCTGCTGGGAGGGAGGAAGACCCACGGAGGGATGGACACCCAGCCCACCAGCCTAGCAAGCCAGGCCTTGGCCTGGGTCTGACAAAACACCCACCGGCCGACCCAGCCTCCCGTCTGTCCCTGCGCAGCAGCCGTGTCTCCTGGGCTCCCAGGGTCTGCGGGGTCTCTGGCCTTTTAGACAAAGGCTGCCGGCCTTTGACCACAAAGCCTAAGAGAAAATAGACACCCAGCTACCTGGGAGCCTGAGGCAGGAGGATGATCGGTTTGAGGACAATGCAGACAACACAGCAAGTGAGTCCATGTCAGCAGAGAAGTGTGGTCAGGGGAGGGCACCTAGCCTGCAGCCCAGGGCTCGGCCCCACCACCCAGAGCACACTGAAGTAACAATATCTTCTTTTTTTATTTTGAGGCAGGTGCTCTGTGCAGGCCTGGCTGGCCTCTGCTCAGAGTGAACTTGAACTAGGCCTGGTGGCGCACACCTTTAATCCCAGCACTCGGGAGGCTGAGCCTGGCGGGTCTCTGTGAGTTCGAGGCCAGCCTGGTCTACAGAGCGAGTTCCAGGACAGCCAGGGCTACACAGAGAAAGCGCATTCCCCATGTGCCCTGGTGGCCTTCTGTATCAGAGGTGTCCGCAAGTGCACAGCTGCTGTGGCGGCCTCTGGGTTCTAATCGGCTCACTCCTGGTCTCCGGTGAGGTCACCAAGGCCACCTCAGAGGTGGCTGTTTCCCATGCTTGGTTCCCAGCTGTGGCGTTACTTTGAGAGGCTCTATGGAAACCCAGTTGGAGGCGTGGGGTCTGGGTGCGTCTCATCTCTGCTCCTGCTGCTCACCTTTCTGGGCAGCCATGACCTGAGTTGCTCTGCCTAGAGCGACCTCAACAGTGGAAGCCTGAACAGACCAGCCCCTCCCTTCGACTAGGGGTGGCACTCAGTTGGTAGTGCTCATAGCTCGGTTGGAAAACTGTGGCCCACATGCACAGGACGCAGGATTGAAGCCCCAGTACTACTTGAGTGGTACACGCCTGTCACCCAGCAGCTGGGAGGTGGAGGCAGGTGGATCAGGGGTTTGCCAGCGGGCCTGACCAAGTGCTGAGGGCTGGACTGGGGAGGCCCAGGCCCTGGACTCTAGGGGTTCAGGTCTAAGTTCAGGGTGCTGGACACTGGGGCTGCACCGGTTCTTAGGGTTCAGGACTCCCCTCTGTGGTTTCTCCTGGCTAGGGTTAGAGTTGTGGGAGGTGAACTTAAGGCCACAGTGCTCCAGAGCTGCAGCCTCTCCCGAGGGCTGCTGCCTGTGGGACCAGGTAGGCCCTGGACTCTGTGGTAACGGGCCAGTCTGTCTCCTGGTCATCCCCCAGGCAGGTGGCCAGCAGAGCTGCCTTTGATTCCTGAGTTCCTGCTGCTGACACACAGCCTGCTCTAGCCCAGCCCCCAAAAGAGGCTGTTTCTGCTCCACCATAGCTGGGTCGTCCAGCCCCAGACTTCACGCTGTGACCACCCACAGGGTGCCCAGAAGAAGGCACCTTAGGGGGAAAAGAAAACCCAGGGCTGGAGAGGCTTTGAGGCTAAGAGAACTGGGTGCTCTTGGAGAGGACCGGATCCACTCACCACTACCCTTCCAGGACTCCAGTTCCAGAGGATCTGACGCTCCTTTCTGGCCCGTGGGCACAGCAGGTACGTGGTGCCCAGAGAGACATGCAGGCAAACACTAATACACATAAAAATTTTAAAAAAAAAAAAAAAAAAACTAAAAGAATAAATTCTAAAGACCTGAGACTACACCCAGGGTGTGGTGGCATGTGCCCGTCACTCCAGCGCCCAGGGTATGGTGGCTTACGCCCGTCACTCCAGCACCCAGGGTGCGGTGGCTTACGCCCGTCACCAGCACCCAGGATGCTAAACGCAGAACTGCTGTTAAGTTCACGGCCACAGAAAAAGGTGCTCACAACCAAGTCAGAAAACCTGAGTTCAATCTCTGGACTCACTGGTGGAGGAGGAAAGTCATTCCTCCAAGATGCTCTCTGAGTGCAACACACGCAATAATACAGAGCCCCAGCCCAGAGTGCCATCCTGTGTGGCTGAGACGGTGGCCCCCGTCATCACTGGAGGCTGTGGGAGCAATGCGGGTCGTCTGCCTTGGAAGGACTAAGGCTGCAGAGACACGTCAGAAGCAGCTGGTCTTCATGGGGCTGTGGCTCTTGGCTTATTCTTGTGGTCCATGTGACCTACCCTACGGAAGGCACCTGTGGAGGCCATGCAGTGGCAGCCTTGCTCTTGGATTCCAGATGGCCTGTACCACCAGCGCTGTCCCCTACCTAGCACCCATCCCCAGAGCCTCCACTGCAGACCGCCTGGCTGGTGACAGAGCCTTGCCCACGCTGCTTCAAACAGGCCTGTTCTAGAGATGTGAGGCCAGAACCAACTTTGCTCTACAAAGCTGGTGCCGGTCTCACTGCCTGTGACGTGGGCAGCACTTGGTACAAAGCCATGGCACCGGTGTCCCACCCCAGTCTTACGTCAGGGTGCCATTGCTGTGATGAAACACTATGACCACAGCAACTTGGGGAGGAAAGGGTTTATTTGGCTCACACTTCCATATTGTTGCCCATCACTGAAGGAAACCAGGACAGGAGCTCACACAGGGCAGGACCTGGAGGAGGAGCTGATGCAGAAATCATGGCGGGTGCTGCTCACTGGCTTGCTCAGCTGCTTTCTTATGGAACCCAGGACCACCTGCCCAGGGATGGCACCACCCACAATTTGCTGGGCCCTCCCCCATTAAGAAAATGCCCCATAGGCTTGCCTACAGTCAGATCTTGTGGAGGCATCTTCTCAACTCAGGCTCCCTCCTCCTCAGATGACTCCAAATCTTCTGTCAAGTTGACATAAAACTACCCAGCACACCTCAGCCTTTTTTTCATGTTAAATTCTCTCCAAGTGAGGTGGCTAGAGCATTTGAGAAGAGGGAACATAAATTAAGAAGGTGCCCATACCGGATTGGCCTGGTAAGATGGCAGCCGAGCAAGCCATGGGGAGCAAGGAGGGAGCACCCCTCCTTGGCCTCCAGGCTCCTTCCTGCCTTGAGTAAACAAACCCCTTTCTCAGGCTGTTTATGGCCAAGGTGTTTACATAGCACTAGAAACCCTAACTAAGTCGTCAAAACCAAAATCTGACCCATCTGCTTTATTTTCTTCAGGTTTTGAGACAAGGATTCACTATCCAGCCCAGGCTGGCCTGGAACCCACATTGATCCTCCTGTCTCTGCAACCTGAGTGCTGGGAAGGGGGTGGGTGGGTTGCTGTGCCAGCCCTGTGACCAGCACAAACAAGTTACAACAGAAGCATGGCTCCCATCTGCGGTGGTGGGGACGGAAGCTGGGGTGGCAGCGGCTCACTCAGGTGCGGTGTCCAGCTCTCAGCATGGAGCACACAGCGAGGAACTGTTGTCCCCAGGGTGCACTGCGGCATGGGGCTAGAACTCCACCTTGCAGGCAGGGAAGGCCTCGTCCTGCATGGACACCATGCTGCCGCTGCCCAGCACCCTGATGCCCAGCGCCTGGTGCTGCTCATGCGTCTCTTCATACCACCTGTGCATCACCGCCGAGTCGAAGGTGGGGATCAGTGTGACCTGGGGGTAGAGCAGGCAGACAGGTGGCGACCCCTCTGATGGCCTGTCTCCCCTCCAGCACCCAAGGACCTTCTTCATAACCAGGTACTGCCACACGGCCCAGGGCTGGCCTGCCACTCCCCACACGCCACTGTGACAGGGCAGTGCTGTTGCCAGGCTATAGCGCCACATACCCCTTGGGCTGCAGCCTCCTCTGCACTGGCACAACTCTGCCATGGGGCCTCTGTCCCCACTGTCCCCACAGCTGACAGTGCATACACAGGGCGGCCTGGCCATCTGCTCAGCATGTGGTGTGAGCACAGCCTCAGCCTCCGGGTCCCGGCCCCACAGATCTGGGAGCACCCACCCCTTTGGTGACACTTCTCAGCTGCAGGACACCAGCTGTCCCTAGAGCTGTCCTGCAGTGGACACAGCATCTCAGCCCCGTGCACTGGGGTCCCTGCGTCCACCCACCTGCAGGTCAAGGTCCCACCGCTGCTTGCCAGCCAGCAGTGCATCCAACACGGCGCGCAGGCCCTCCTCCTGGCGCTGGCCCTGCCCACTGATGACGTAACAGAGTGCACGCACCCGCAGGAAGAAGTCCTGGTCCAGGCGGCCTGCGCCACCGCCTGGCAGGTAAGCCAGGTCCAGGTAGACAGGGGAGCCAGCAGCAGGGGGCACAAGGCGGCTGTTAGGCCCTGTGGGGAATGCATAGGTTGGTGGTGGTGATGCGGCAGCTCAGGGCATCTCTGTGGTAGACCGCCATCGCCTCCCACCAGGGGCAGACACCCCAGGTCCCTGCACCCGGTGTTCACAGTGTCAGCCACACCTCCTGGGCCACAGAGATGAGTGCTCAGGGAGCAGGCTCAGCCTACAGCCCGCAAGAACCTGGGTGTGCGGAACCAAGAGTGCTCACAAAAGTGGTCCCGCGGCAAGTGCTGGACTCAAAGCCCTGCCCCCGCTCCCAGGTGAGAGGGAGCCAGGGCAGCAGGGGAACTGGGGGCCCCAGGACAACAAGACCCACAGCAGCCTCAGTGAGAACCATGGAGAACAAGGTAAGCAAGTGTAGGACAAGTCCAGCCCGGCTTGGCATCGGCACAGCCAATGAAAGCTGGGACTTCGGGCCAGCTGACCTGGTGGGGACACTGGGGATACGGCACGGAGCTGAGGTTTGCAGAGGGCCTCACGGGGCAGCAGGAGACACGAGAACCTACAAATGCCATCCCTGCCTGGCTCTGGTATAAACAGAGCTGGCGCCATGGTTAGCTGTACATTGTCCCTCAGGGGTGTGGGCCTGTCTCCAGTGGGGTCACACAGGAGGGTGATGGGAGGTGCGTCACTGGGTGTCACCTGGGTGGACAGAGCTATCAAGTCCCCTTGGTCACTTAATCTTTCCTGCGGGTACCTGTCAGTGTGGTGACTTCTGCTACAGGGTTCCAGGACCCAGCTGTAACCTGTGCCAAACACAGAAACTGGGCCGAAGCAGCCATCAGCTGCAGCACCGCCTGAGGCCAGAACCCTGCTGGGGACAGGCCCCGAGAGTGGTCTCGAGGCCACCTGGCCTGGAGGTGGGCAGGGAGCCACTTCCTACTTTCAGGGCAGGTCTCGTGGCCCAGGTGTCACCCTTGGAATCCACATGCAAAGCCAAGCCCAGGAGTTTACCTGTCAGATCAGCATTCAGGAGACTGAGGCAGGGGGATCGCTTCCAGTTCTAGGTCAGCCTAGGCTACAGTCCAAAACCCTCTCATTTTGTCTCTGAGATAGGGTCTTTCTCGATACATATCCCAGGCTGGTTTCAAACTCCTAAGGATCCTCCTGTCTCTGCCTCCTGAGTGCTGGGGTTAAAGGCTGCACCACCACCACCGTCTGACAAAATCCTCTCAAAACACCACAGAAGCTAAGAGGACAGACACCCCGGGCCTCTCAGCCTCTGCAGGGAGAAGGTACCGGCATGAGGCCATCTCAGAACACAAAAAGACCAAACATGGACAAACAAGAAAGCCCACGCCTGCCCAGGACCTGGCTGGACTTCCTAGAAAGCTCTAAGAGGCAGGGGCAGGACTGAGTGTCATAGCTCAGCTCGCACCGGGCCACAGGCCAGCCCCCGAACAGGAGTGAGGTCCAGAAAGCGTTGAGTGGAAAGGTGGGATGAGGGGGACTCACCCGAGGAGAGCCTCGTGGCAGGGGCCACTTTGGAGACGGTCTTGGGCACCGAGGGCTTCCTGGTGAGGGGCACACGGCCTGGCTTGTCTGCGGGCTCACTGCGGGCGCTGAGTGGCCGGGCCCGGTCCCCTGCAGGGCCCTTGGTTTTTACAGCTAAGGATGCGGCTCTGGGGGTGGCAGAGGCGGAGCTCGGCCTCACAGGGGCCTTGCGGCCGCGACTAGCACTGGCAGGGTTGGGGGGCTGCCTGGCACGGGGGGGCAGCGCTTCGGGGTCCACCATGCAGATGCCGGGCGCGTCGGGCAGCGGTGGCGGCACACGGGGTGTGGGCAGCGGGTCCCTGGCTGCACTCTCGCTGCCCGCCTCGTCGTCGGAGTCCGCGACCGGCACCGGGTCAGAGTCAGACAGCGTGGGCAGCGACCCGCTCACCGACGTGGGCGGCGTCTCGGGCGGCCGCTCCTGAGAACGGGCGCTGCTGTCTGAGCTGCCGGGAGAAGCGGGAGGGGGCGGCTTGCGGTGCGCAAACTCACAGGGTGACACGAGGCACAGGTCCACGTCGTGGGGGGACGTGGAGCGGCGCGCCAGGCGCAGGGGCAGGCTAAGGCCCGCGTCGCCGGCCGGCAGCACCTGCTCGAAGGACACAGAAAGCGACTCGTCCACCTCGGTGGAGTGCGGCGAGCCCAACTCGGCGGGCAGTGAGGGCGTGGTCAGCGTGGGCGTGGTGGCCGTGGGCGTGGTGGCCGAGGGGGACGCGTCCGGGGCCGGCTCAGGGCGCAGGGGGCTGAGAGACAGGCGCTCAGGGCTACTGCCGGGTGCGGGAGGAGGTGGGGACGGAGCTGGAGACCGAGGTGGGGAGGGGGCAGGTGGCCGCTCGGGCTCCATGCTGCTCCCTGCTTCTCCTGGGCACTTGGGCACGTAGGCTGCAGGCGGCCCCGCCGGAACCGGGGCTCGAGGCCCGTTCTGCGCCGTGCGAGGCTTCGCGTTGGCAGCAGCAGGCCCGGAGCGGCGCGTGTCGCGGCCGGCCGGCCGTGCGGGCCCGGGCCGTGGGTCTTTCTTCAGGTCCCGCACGGGCGCAGCAGGCTCCTTCCGCACCGTGCTCCTGCTGGCCGAGCTGCCGGCGGCGGCGCTGCGGAGCTGCTCTTTGCGAGAGCTGTCCCGTGAGGCCAGGCTGTCCTGACTGTCAGCCCTGGCGGGCGCATCCAAGTCGCGCGCGGTGACCACGGGCCGCCGCAGGCACGGCAGGTGCTGCAGCCGCTGCAGCCCGTCGAGCAGGCGTGCGGGCGGTGTGCGGCCTGGGAACAGCACGCGCACCACCTTGTCGCTGGGTGCCGCAGGCTGCCACACCAGCAGCGCGCAGGCGGGCGCTGCGGGGTCCCCGGGTGGCGGATGCAGCACGAAGAGCTCCAGGCGGCCGACCCCCAGCTTCTCAAACAGGACGGTGGGCTGCGCGGGCTGCGAGCCTCGCTGCAGGGGCAGGGGCGCAATGCCCAGGCTCCGCAGCAGGCCCCGGGCGCACACCGCCTCATCCTCGCCACCGCGCAGTCGCGAGGCCGCTTCGCGTGCGTTCAGGAACACGACACCCAGGGCGGGCGACAGCAGGCGACGCAGCCGTTCCTCGCGCTCTCCCTGTGGCCCCGCGGCCGCCTCTCGCTCGGCCAATTTGCGGCGCAGCAGGCTGTTGAGGCCAGGCAGGCTGTCGGCACCTGCGTGGGTCACTAGCACGGCGTCCACGCGGTCCAGGTGCCGCACCAGCTTCCAGAAGCTCGACTTGGGGTTGGAGCCGCCGTTTACCAGCACGGTGAAGCCGTTGACCGCGAAGAAGGCGGCGTCGCCCAGGCCGCCCGGGAACACGTAGCAGCAGGGCCGCGCCAGGCGCAGGAAGCCACCAGCGGCCGGCGGCTCCAGCAGCTCGAAGGGGGACGGCAGCTCCAGCGACTCGGCCACATACTCCAGAAAGGCCCGCAGACCCTCGGACGGCGGCAGCCGCGCGGGTGGGTTCAGTCGCAGCCGCAGCCCGGGCAAGGGGCCCAACTGCGCCCAGTCCCCGAAAGTCGGGCAGGACACGGTGAGGGCCGGGGGGGCCGTGGGGGCCGAGGCCAGCGCGTCCTGGACCTGTAGGACCAGCACAGGGCCGCCTGGACCCGAGGACTCGTGCACCCCCACCCATCCCCAACCCGCCACAAGGCAGCCCACACCCACCCGGCTCGCCCCCAGGTCCCGCCGTTCTGCTCACGCTCCCCGCACTGCACTGCGCAGCTGAGGAGCAGCTCTGGGGCCCTCTCCCCACCCCAGAGCGGTGCCAGGGCTCGGCTCACCTCTTTGTCCTCCAGCACCTGCAGGAAATGCTGCGCTGAGAACCCCCCGGTCTGCAGCAGCAGCTCCCCGGTCTCCTCCAGGCAGGGGCCGGCCAGCACCAGCAGTTTGTGAGGGGCGGGGTCCATCAGGAGGTTCCGGAGCTGTGGGTGAGGGTGAAGAGCCTGGTGAGCAGCGCCCAGGCCAGGCCTCAACTCTGAACTCACACCCGAGTCTGACTGCAGCTGTGGAGGCAACTGAGAGGCTGCAGGGTAAGCAGAGCCTGGGGGGTGTGGGCACAGCCGCCGCGCCCGCAGCCCCCTCCCCTGCTCCAGCTCACATCTCCTGCCTAGCAGTGCTCTGGCTCCTCCAGCAGGGGACTGCTTGCGGCAGACCCACCTAGGTATTATTGTAAAGGCAAGGTTCCTCTATGAAAGTACAAGTCAGCCTCCCGCGATGGGAAAAGAGGCCTGCGACAACATTCCCGGATGAAAAATGCTGAAAGGATCCCTTGTGGCCAGCAGATCCCAGAGCTGCGTGGCATCTACTGACTTGTAACTGGGAGGAAGGTGCAGGCTGGCCCAAGTCAAGGTTCCTGGGCACCTCGGACAGCTCCTGGGTCAGGCTGCAGCCCCCCCCCCCCCCCACACACACACACAAAGGGCCTCCAGCTAGACACAGCACATCCCCTCCCCCAAGGCTCCAGCCTTCCTGTCCACCCCCAGAGAGAGGAAGCTGGGGCCGGTGTGAGGGTAGACAAGGCAGATCCACAGGTCACCCGCCCCTCCCTCCTACCTCATCACACAGGGACTTGTCTGAAGGGTTCAGCAGGACCAGCGTCTCCAGGGTCTCTCCACGGTGGTGCAGGCTCCGCTGGCCTGTGGGATGACAGGTCCAGGCCCTGGCTCAGTATCAGGCCGGCCTGATGCCAAATCCTGCCACCGAGGGACTCAAGCCCCAGGACCCACACAGGGGGCTACAAGCCCCCGATAGAGCTGTGAGCCAAGACGAGGGCACATGGAGACCCAAGGACGCCTGGGGCCTCGACAGGGACAAGAGTCAAGCTGCCCTGCCACCCTCACAGCTCAGCCCAGGAGGCTCCATAAGGCTCAGAAGAACAGGCAGACCGGCTTCAGTCCAACCCACGCGGGGACTCAGCAGGAGAAGGTGTCACTGCCCAGAGGGGCTTTCCCAGGGGCTGTGGCGCACAGTAGGTCACACAGCACAGGCATTTCTAGCTCCCTCCACCCCACCAGGGGTCAGGAAGCCACTGTGACTCAGGGACAATTAGATGGACACTTCCTTCCCTCAGCAGCTGTAGGTGGTGACTCAACCTACTGGCCAGGAGCTGAGCTACAAGTAATACCCACAAAGTGGCCAGTGGCTGCTCTGGCCACCCTGGGATCCCCTGGGGAGCTTGCCCTGCACCCCATCTCTGCTTCCCTATCGACTGAGAGCACCCTGTAGGTTCTCGGCCCCAAGGGCCCCTCCCTAGAGTTGCTGCACACTTTCGTGCATAGGCCCTGCTCCTACTGTCCCAAGCTGAGGCAGATCTCCAGGTTAGGGCAGCACTACACAGGCCTCGGTGATACCCCGACCCATGCCCGGCATACAGCTGTCATTCAGCACCTTGGCATCCAGTGAGTGGGCAGAAGGAATACTGGGGAGGCAGACAGGGCAGGTCACCTTTCACAATGCTGGAGAATGTGGCCGAGTGCCGGGACACAAAGGCCTTGAGCTGCTCATCCAGGCTGCAGATGGTGGGATCCACATCCTCCCAGGAGCGAACACCTGCAGGCAGGAGACAGAGCTCAGCTCCAGTGCCCTGCTGCCAGCCTGCTCTGGCTCCCACAGCTTGGATCCTGGGCAGGCAGAGCCAAGGGACTCAGGCAGGCCTCAGCCTTTCACTGACTGGAGGCCTGGCTGGTCATCTGCTGTAGCTTCCCTGCTTTCCTGCTAGGATCCTGAACTTTGGGGATTTTGTGTGTGCACATGTGGAGGCCAGAGGTCAACACTGGGTGCCATCCTCACCTTCTGCATCTTATGTTGGGGACAGAGTCCCTCACTGAATCTTCAGGTCATCACCTGGTGAGGCTAACTGGCAGTGAGCGCGCGCAGGACTGCCCTGTGCCTCTCCAGAGCTGGGATTACAGGCCAAGCCCAGCTTTGACGGCGTCTCAGGTTCTCAGCACCTTACCCACTCAGCACTGGATTTGGGGCAGCAGTCTCCCACAAGGAAAAGCTGGATGTCACTCCAAACAGTTCTCCTGCCTGACTACAGGGGATGCGAGCACAGTCCGCACACACCTGGCTCTCCTGGAAAGCTCCCACTTTTCCCTGATGGGCTGGGTCTGTCACTATGACCCCTCCCTTCAGACAGGCCTTCCTCTAAGCCAGAGGTTCTCAACCTTCCTAATCCTGCGACCCTTTAATACAGGGTGTGGTGGCGCCCAACCATAAAATTATTTTGTTGCTACTTCACAACAGTAGTTTTGCTACTGTTATGAATGGTAAAAATCTGATATGGGGCCCCATGAAAGGGTTCATCGACCCCCAAAGGAGTCGAGACCCACAAGTTGAGGACCAACATGTTGGGAGTGTCTCTTGCTTGTCATCCAGGCCCGGCCTGTGATGAGCGATCACACCTAGGGACACTTTTCAGACCACGCATTCAGATGGGCGTTCTACGTCCTTCTGGGGATTTTGTTTTTTTGAGACAGGATCTCATGTAGTTCAGGATGGGCGTAAATTCCCTATGATGCTTCTAGCTGAGGAAAAACCCCTTATCCGGCCTCCATCTCAGACAGGATGCTGGGGATGAAGCTGGATCTCAAGCAAGCCAGGAAACACGCTACCCACTGAACCCCAGCACTTGTTTTTGGGAACGCTGTCCTGTAGCCCAGGCTGGCCTGGAACTTGCAGTGCTCCTCCGGCCTCAGCTCCAGAGTGCATGGGTGACCGGCGCGGGCATCGCACTCGCTGCCCCGTTACAGCAGATGCAGCCCCGCCCGGTGCCCGTGTGACAGGTGCGCCTGAGTCAGCCCCCCTCGTGCCAAGCCACCCCGGGGCGGCCGCGCCACCCACGCGTCAATTAGCAGCGGGGAAAGCAGGCCCCGGGGCGCCGCGGGAACGGGCGAGCCCGGCGAGGGGCGGAGCCAGAAGAGGAAGGCCGCACCCCGCCGGAACCCCGGAGCCGGGGACGCGGCGCCCACCCGGGCCCCAGGCCGCCCCCGGAGCCCGGTACCCCCCGAATCAGACGCCCCCTCTACCATGCCCCACGCGGAGCCCAGGACGCCGCGCCCCGCCCGGACCCGGTGACCCGCGCCGTCACGCTGAGCCCAAGCGACCACCGGGCACGCGCGGACCCCACCGCCCGCCCGGACCCCAGGCCGCGCCCGGAACGTTGCGTCCGGGGACCCCGCGCCCACCCGGACCCCGGCCCAGCGCGCCGGAACCCCGCGGCCCCCCCGGACGGCCTCCCCCCGGGCCCCGCGGACCCGACCTCGTTCCAGCTCCTCCAGGACGTAGGCCAGCAGCCCCGGGCAGCCGCACTCGCCGCCCACCACCAGCAGCAGCAGCGAGCTCGGCGCCGCCACAGCCTCGGGCGCCGCCATCACCGCCGCCATCTTCGCGCCGCCCCGACGCTCCCAGCGCCCCGCCCCCGCTGGCCACGCCCCTTCAAGGAGCGCACCGGAAGCACCGGAGACCCTGGCCGGAAGCGCCCCCTCCTCCCCACCCTATCAACGCCCTCTAGGCCTTGGGAGACCATAGAGCTGGGATGTCCCTGCCAAAATTTCATTCATTCACTCATTCACTCATTCACTCATTCATCGACACTTTTCCCATCTCAGTTGTTCCACGCGGAACCGGGGTCTGATAGGCAGTGCGGCTTCCTGAGTTAGGATTCCGACAGGTGGGGCTTTGAGGGATGTGTCGGGGTTTGTAGGGGTGTGGCGGGCCGGGAGGGTGGAGGCACTGGTCCGGCGGGCAGGGTCGCTGTCGTCCGCGAGCACAGGGCGTTTTGGAGGGGCATCAGCAGGCCCGTCTGGCTCCAGGCAAGTCGGCGCCCTGGCGACCTCAAACCAGCGGTCCCCCTGCCTCCACCGCTCCCACACCGGGGACGGACCAAAAGCCTGGCGTTCACTGGGGTGCCTGGGGCGCCCCGGTCCCGTTCACCAACGCCAGGGCTCCGGCATCCCCAGGGAGGCTGCGGCCGGGGGATCAGAAGTTCACAGTCGGCCTCAACCACCGGGCACGAGGAGGCCGGCCTGCACTAGCGAGCGTTTCCTGCTGCAGTAACGGAAGCGGGGCGGCCACGCCCGGCCGGGCCGGCTCACACGCGCGGGACGGCTCGGCCTGCCCGGGTCCCCCGCCGGACGCCCGCTTCTGGGGCGCAGGGCGCCTGCGCACGCACACACACACACACACACACACACACACACACGGGCGCCTGCACACGCGCGCACACACACACACACACACACGGGCGCCTGCACACGCGCGCACACACACACACACACGGGCGCCTGCACACACGCGCACACACACACACACACACACACGGGTGCCTGCACACGCGCGCACGCACACACACACACACGGGCGCCTGCACACACGCGCGCACGCACACACACACGGGCGCCTGCACACGCGCGCGCACGCACACACACACGGGCGCCTGCACACGCGCGCGCGCACACACACGGGCGCCTGCACACGCGCGCGCACACACACACACACACACACGGGCGCCTGCACACGCTCACACAGAAACACCAGGACGTCTAAACAGATCGGGCACGCCTTTAGCCCCAGCCCACGGGGCAGAGGCAGGGGCATCTCTGTGAGTGTGCGGTCAGCCCGGACTACATAGAAAACCCCACACACACGCACACACCCGGGCGGCTGAGCGGAGGCCCCACGGCCCAGGCCGTTGGTTCGGCCTCCCTGGGATTCGAACCCAGGAGCTGCAGTCTGCACTCCAGAGGCCTGAGGTCCTCCGTCGTCTTCTTTCCATCGCTGTTTCAAGCGGCCTCAACCTGTCCATTCTCCTGCCTCACTTCCCGGCTCTGGGCACCCGCAGTGAGTGCTGGTGTCACAGCCGGGTCTCAGCGCACGGGAAGCCTCCCCACCGGGCTGAGCCGCAAAACCCCAAGTTTCTGTCCGCGGTTGGGGTCCCGGCCTGGGGAGTGCAAGGCTCCGCACAGAAGGTCAGACTCGGGTCACGTCCTCACCTCTGTCCACATAGATCCAGCCAGCTAGGGGTCAGCCATCTTGTCCCCGTGGAAACGGTGTGCGTGTGCGTGCGTGCGTGTGTGTACGTGTGTGTGCGTGTGTGCGTGCGCGTGCTGTGTGTGGCGCGTATGTGCACGTGTGCGCCCGTGTGTGTGTACATGCGCGTGTGCATATGCGCGTGTGTGCGTATGCGCGTGTGTGTGCATGCGTGCGTGCGCAGGCGCATTGCGCGTGAGTGTGTGCATGCGTGTGTGAGTACGCGCGCGTGTGTGTGTGCGCGTGTGTGTACATGCGCGTGTGCGCGTGCCACGGAGGAACCCGAGAGCCCTCAGGGCAGACATTCTGCCTGCAACACTCTCAGGGGGTTCAGTCGGACCTCCTTCCCACTGCTGGGGACAGGTCTCGGCCTCCACGTGACCAGCCACCCCTACCCACGACCCAGCTTCTCACCGGGGATTCTAGACGGCGCCGCCCTGAGCCACGCCCCCTGCGCCGTTCCGGGGACCCCAGGCTGTCACTCCACCCCTGAGCCACGGCCCCAGCCCCTCCCTGCGGGATCTCAGACTGTCACTCTACCCTTGAGCCACGCCCCCAGCGCCGTCCTCGGGGACCCCAGGCTGTCACTCTACCCTTGAGCCACGCCCCCTGCCCCTCCCTGCGGGACCCCACGCTGTCACTCTACCCTTGAGCCACGCCCCCTGCCCCTCCCTGCGGGATCTCAGACTGTCACTCTACCCTTTAGCCACGCCCCCTGCCCCCTCCCTGCGGGGATCTCAGGCTGTCACTCTACCCTTGAACCACGCCCCCTGCTCCTCCCTGCGGGGATCTCAGACTGTCACTCTACCCTTGAGCCACGCCCCCAGCGCCACGCCCCCAGCGCCGTCCTCGGGGACCCCAGGCTGTCACTCTACCCTTGAGCCACGCCCCCAGCGCCGTCCTCAGGGACCCCAGGCTGTCACTCCATCCTTGAGCCACGCCCCCAGAACCACGGCCCCAGCGCCGTCCTCAGGGACCCCAGGCTGTCACTCCACCCTTGAGCCACGCTCCCTGAGCCACGCCCCCAGCACCGCCCTCGGGGACCCCAGGCTGTCACTCCCCCCCTGAGCCACGGCCCCAGCACTGCCCTCGGGGACCCCAGGCTGTCACTCCACCCCTGAGCCACGCCCCCAGCCCCTCCCTGCGGGACCCCAGGCTGTCACTCCACCCCTGAGCCACGCCCCCAGCCCCTCACTGGGGATTCTAGGCGGGGCTCCACCCCTGAGCCACGCCCCCAGCCCCTCACTGGGGATTCTAGGCGGGGCTCCACCCTGACCACGCCCCCAGACCCTCACTGGGGATTCTAGGCGGGGCTCCACCCTGACCACGCCCCCAGCCCCTCACTGGGGATTCTAGGCGGGGCTCCACCCCTGAGCCACGCCCCCAGCGCGGTCCTCGGGGACCCAGGCTGTCACTCCACCCCTGAGCCACGCCCCCAGCCCCTCCCTGCGGGACCCCAGGCTGTCACTCCACCCCTGAGCCACGCCCCCAGCGCGGTCCTCGGGGACCCAGGCTGTCACTCCACCCCTGAGCCACGCCCCCAGCGCCGTCCTCCGGGACCCAGGCTGTCACTCCACCCCTGAGCCACGCCCCCAGCGCCTCCCCGGACGGTTTTAGGCGTACATAGACCAGGTCCCCGGGAATACGCTCTTCCCGCCTCCGTCTTCCTGGCAGATGTGGGACCCCAAGCTCGGCCATCGCCCTTTGACAGCGACCACGGTTTTCCGCATCCCCCAACAGCTCTGCGGTCCCCACACCCCACGCTGGGCTTTCCGTCCGGTCACCGCCAGCCTCCTGCCGCCCCTGCCGCCGTCCGCTGGGGGCGTGGCCTAGCACCCGGCCACGCCCCTCCAGTCTGCACCAATCGCGCGTTGCGGGAACTCAGGACCCTGGCCCGGCCTGGCTGCCCGCAGGTCCCCTGGCTCCTGGGGCCCCGTGTGCCTGTCAGTTCCCGACGGACCCGCGCACTCCCTCAGGCAGCGAGGCTCTCCGTGTTCCCCTGGACGTCCAGGGGGCTTGGCAGGGCCCTGGGTCTTGAACATTCGTCTTGTATATCCTGTAAGGTTTGCAAACAGTTCCCGGCAACTGGCACTGCAGTTCGCTCCTGATAAAGGTACAAACAGTCTGACTGCTCTCGGTAAAACTGTCACAGGCTCAGTCTTGCTGTGGCCCCTCCAACCGGCCTGGGGCCTTAGTCCGTAAGTGCGGGCCTTACAGGGTGCCTCTCTCCCTAACAGGCCGGGCCGGCCTGCGCCCTCGGGAGCTCCTTCCAGCCCTCCTGAGGGCGACCAGCTCCAGCTTTCCCACAGCGCGGTCGGATCTTCTTCCCCATCCTCCCTGCTCCCTTTTGTGCCCCCCCCCCCCACTGTAATGGTTGATTGCTCCTCCTGGTGTGGATTCAGACCCAGGTAGTGTTAAGTGATCGAATAACATACGCAGGCACCAGAGAGAGTCTGAATCTCAGGAGAGGGTACAGTGACCCACCTATGAGGAACAGTCAAGGGACCGTCGTTTTGTTTGGGGGGGGTACGAGACAGGATTTCTCTGACTAGAAACTGCAACTGTCCAGGAATGCTGTCCCAGAACTCGCTCTGTAGCCCAGGCTGGCCTGGAAGTCAGAGATCCGCCTGCCTCGGCCTCCCAAGTGCTGGGATTAAAAACGTGCGACACCACCACCTGGCCAGGATGGAGTTTTAAAAAAATTGGGGGAGAAGAGCAGGGGCCACAGGCCACATCTGCCACAGCTGGGCAAGCGGAGGCCAGGAAGACTTTCACGAGTCTTCTCTCCTTTCAAAAGCGAGTCCTGGGGATGGAACACAGGCTGCCAGCCTTGGCAACAAACACTTCTCCACGGAGCCATCTTGCCAGCCCCGCCACGTGCACCTTCCTCAATTTTAATTACATTATATGTGTAAGGGTGTTTTGTCTACAAGTATGTCTGTGTGTGTGCCTGGTGCCCGAGTAGGTCCCCTGGAACTGTAGTCGGACAGTTGTGAGCTCATGTCAGTGCTGGGGATTGAACCTGGGTCCT